TTATGACGTCGTATCGATTCGAAAATACTGCTGCTGGAAGTTGTTTCCAAAGAGTGGTTGTGCGTGGAAGAAAGTGCTTTGAAAAACGCACGGTGAAAGACCCCCACTCTTCCAGATGGTTGGGATGAAACTTTAATTTATGGCGGGTTGTACGGTGGTAAAAATCAGCAACAGGTATAAATCCGAACCATTTCTCGGAGCACTTCTCATGATAAATTTGGTAGAAATTTTAGTGGGTGGAGTCGGACAGTAAGGCGCTGACTATCAATAATTCGAGCCGCCCGACTTTGAATGCGGTCTAATGTAAGGAGCTAGTACTGTGGCGCTCCTACCCATAGGTGAGAACAGTATTCCATATGCGGCCTAACTTGAGCTTTATACAATATCAAGCGGTGTTCCGGCATGAAATACCGTCTCACTCTATTGAGCAATCCTAACTTTTTGAAAGCTACCTTAGCTTTTTCCTCCAAATGACCGCAAAACTGGACGTCGCTAGTAATATCAAAGTCCCAGAACTCCTAGATTCGACTTATTATCAAGGGAAGTGCCCTTAAAGTGAGGAGATACGACAAACGGCATCTTTTTTGCGGTAAACGCGCAGACTTGTGTCTCCTTAGGGTTAAATTGGACAAGATTGTGTTCATGTTCATGTGTTCAGATCAAAACTTGATCGAGTGAAGTTTCGATTTCAGATACAAGTCTCTTCCGGCACTCATCGGTATGTGCCCGCGTAATCTTTGCATGAGCGTTATATAATGCATCTCCTGTACTTCTGCATAGCAATGAATATTACAGATCTGTAACATATTATTGATATGCAGAAGAAACAAGATTGGAGATAGTACACAGCCTTGCAGGACACCAGCATTCACAGGTTTTAAATCAGAGCATGCTCCGTCTACTACGACCTTAATGCTACGTTCCTTGAGAAAACTGGCGACCCAAATGCACAATTTCGCAGGCAATCCAAACGAGGGCAGTGTCGAAAGCAGCGTTCTATGCCATACCCGATCAAAGGCTTTCGCAATATCCAGACTTTAACAGCTAAGGCCTCTCCCTTATTCTCGATTGCCACTGCCCATCGGTATCTTAAGTAAGCTAAAAGATTACCAGCCGAACGTCCCTGTCGAAAGCCGTTTGTGCGATCACAGATTAGCCGGTGCTCTTCTAGGTACCGGAGCAGTTGACGGTTAATGATGGATTCCATAACCTTCGAGAATAATGAAGTGATAGCTATGGGCTTATAGTTAGCTGAATCTAAGCAATCTGCTTTTTTAGGGATCGGATGTACCAATCTTCCAAAACTTTGGAACTGTGCCTGATGAGTAACAGAACCGAAAAATATGCGTAAAAACCGGAGCCAACTCTGGTGCGCACGTCCTAAGCACAATTGGAGGAATACCATCGGGCCCACTCGACTTATGGATCTCGAGAGAGAGAAGTGCTCTACGCACTGAGCTATGTGTGAATTTAATATCAGGCAGAGAGCTGTTACAACGCGGGATGGTCGGCGGTGGTTTCTCACCGTCATCCAATGTTGAATTTGACGCAAGGGATTCAAGGAGATCAGCCTTTTCTTTGGCGTTCAGAGCCAACAAGTTATCCTCCCTGCATAATGGTTGAAAAGATGACTTACAGAAATTCCCTTGTGCAGCTTTGGTAAAAGACCAGAAAGCTCGAATTCCCGAAGGCAAACTAGCCAATCTCTTGCCAATTCTACTAATGTGCTCTGTGGCTATAACTCTTAAAACCTAGAAGCAGAGTTGTACTTCTTTTTAAGGGCACTGATGTTAGGATCTCCTGATACCACACCTTTAGCCCAGACAAGGAAGCGCTCCTGTTTCAAACGAGATGCTGTTCTACAAGAGGCTCCAAGATACCAGGGCTGAAATTTTCCGCCGACGGGCACCACGGAGTTAGGAATAAATAATTCCATTCCCTGAAGCACATCGGCGATGGTGTCGGGATCATCCAGTGTGACTTATCATTTTGAAATTGTATAAAAGCGTGTTGTTTCATACATATACAAATATATATAACACTATACTTAAAGTTTAATTAATATTTTTAATGATAATTCTTAAAACAGTCTTTACCTCTTGAGAGGCATAGGTAAACATCACATTTAACACAACGTATTTTACTGCGCGGCACATAGGTCTTCATGCGACAGGTCCGTGAGGCCCAAATATCATCAAATGTCATTATAGTGTTAATGTTTTATAGCGTTTTGTTTCAGATGGCTTCGGAGACATATACTTCCTTTTTACAGGTTGGTCTTTAGCCAAGTCTTCATGGCCTTCATTGTCATCGTAACGTCGCTTATTTATTGGCGTTACTAATAAAGAATCGGTTAAAGTAATTTTAAAATCTAACAGATCCATTATCTTTTTTTCGGTAAGTTAGCAGCTTTACAGTCAATTTTATACTGACGTCATGAATTTAGTAACGCCGAATCCAAAAAGGGTATATTTACTTTGAGCGTCTATTTATTAGTTTTAATAAAAGTACGATAATACTCCAACATCTGGTCAAGAATGTCTAGACTACGCCTCCCATGTAACTGTTGTAGTTTGTCACAATCTTTGGAGCAGTGACATCGATGTATGGTCTAGTCTGTTTGTTCCATCTTTTCGCGACTTACCTATAGGGTTGACGTTGCTTGCAGTCCCAACAAAATTTTTCAATCCCACGGGTCTGGATTTTTTTTAACAACCTGCCTCATAGGACATCGTTCCGTGAAAAGGATGAATCAATGCTATAGAAGCCAGGCACTCTTTCTAGTTTATAACATGCATTAAGAACGTAATCAATGACTAGTTGTACTCGTACTTTTCAGAGTGGGTTATGTAGTTCGTTTTCTGTTAACGGTGGCGGCATGTCAGAATCAATAACATGCAATGTATTTCGAAGCTGCAAAAAACGATCTCTACTCAATGCTATCTGCGATCAGCGGTAATCTGGGATTATTTTTCAATACATGGGCAAACGGGGATATGGAATAACTCCCATGATCAGGTATATATACCAAAGAAGTTAGCTATTTCTTGAGCATTTATTTTAAGTTCTTTTTCTATTCCACGCATATAATATTGATTTGTGCAATTAGAAGCCATTTCAAAGAATTCATTATTATAATAATTGTTAAAATACTGTTGTGGCAATCGGAGAGGACTAGAAGGTGGCGGTGAGTAGTCATGAGTTTTATCGCAATAGGGTACTTGGCTCCATATTCTAGACCGTCTTGTTGACGTTATTGTTCTGGGAAGCGGCACAGATGGTGTTCTCTGGAGTGATGTTGAAGATGACTGCCCTGCTGGTGACTGCTAGGAGGTGGAAAAAATAGAACTGGGATCATTATGAAATACCTCTAAAGACTCTTGACTGATTTCCAATAAGTCTTTTAAAAATATTTGACTCAAATGCATCGCCATTCAGTTCGTCAATATCGGACTCGTTTCTGTCTTATAATATTATGAGGATATCTTCAATGTCAAGAACTGCACTTAAAAGCATAATTATGAAAAATAATGAAATATAGATACATAAATTCAGCACAATTTGCACCAAAAAGGACACTCAACCGGATTTTTACGAAGATCAAAGTGTGTCTCTTTCTAACAAATTTCTAACTACTCTCTCTCTCTTTCTAACAAATGTCTATAGGCGCCATCAGATGGGCCGTCAGCGGGTCTGCCTTTCTAAGTTGAAAAAAAATTACAGCAATTCTTAGAAAAAAAACAATATTCATAAATCGACTAATTCTATTCTTATTAATAAATAAAACCAGTTAAAATTATTCTGAAATTGCAACAAATAGTAAGAATACTTATTATTCCTACTATTTGTTGCAATTTCAGAATAATTTTATTTACGTGACCAAACTCTGCGCCCAAAGTAAGCAGCCATCTTTGACGCCGACTAACTGAGAACTATCCTGTCGTAACTTGTTTTGGTAGACATTGGAGTGAACGCTATGAACCTACACGTTCGAGCGATCCCGGGATTGTTCACCAAAACGTATTTATTTTAGAGCCAGGAACTTTTCTCGATGCTCACGCTCGCTTAGAGCCGGTCGGAAAGGGTTAACTGCAATAGGTTATGTTGTTCAGCCCTACCACTTGTATGTTTACACAAATTTACTTTCAAACATTGACCGTCGTTTTTAGTTCTACATTAAGACACTAATTTACAACTAAACTCATTATTTACAAAATTAATTAGTTACATTTTACGTATTTAATTTTTTACGGTAAGATAACTTATGAATTTTCATTATCTTCTATTCAATTTATTTGAATAGACAAGTTCAAAAGTTCAAAATATTTTTAAATAGGTATTACTTAATAATTTTTAGTCTAAAAAGGCTTTTCCTGACACCGTGGTACAACAAGTACCTACCTACACACTTGAGAACATTTTCCATCGCCTTAATGTTTTAAGAATATAAATATTAGTTCCTTTTTCTCTCTGGGATCGGCGAACTATTCGTTCATTTTATACGAACGCCTTCCTAGTTCAAAAAAATTTTTTTAAATGCTACTTGTAATTTTCAACAGGTGAAAGAATTTTTAAAATCTGTTAAGTTTTTTTTATTTTTTCTGTTAAGTTCATTATAAACAAAAAACCAAATCTTTGCTCTTTATAATAATATTAGTTTAGATATAAACATATGTGAAAATAAACATGTGTGGTATAAAATGTTCTTGTAAATGTAAAAAAAGGTATGAGAAGAATGAATAATATGTATATAATACTTAGGTAAATATAAGGCAGAGCATTTTATCTTTAGATTTAGAAAAAATATTTTTTAGTGATTTTTTTAGTGGAACATTAGGTACCTGCTTAATAATAGCTGTAGATTTTTTTTTATTTTTGTTATTTAGCAGTAAATAAATAAATTTCTTAATTATTGAAATTTCTTTAAGTTTTATCTTATAAAAATATTAACAATTATTTCTTGAACGTTCGGTATGAAAGCAAAATAAATACAAACAAACAATGATTAACATGAATTTATTTAGTTTATCAAATATATTTCGTGAAAGTGCTGCGTACATACTAATAATTTCCGTGTTCACAAGCAATTCTCAAACAACAATACAACATCTCTCATTACAACACAAAATTATACCAGCTTTCTTCCTCCTGATTCAGTTTGACAGGAACAGAATTGTACAGAAACTAATAGCACCATTTCTATTTTACTGGTCTCACAGAACAAAACAATAAACAATCTTAATAGCATTTTAAAAAAAGTGTATACCCACAGGTACGTTAGTACCTAAACTTATCGTAACGATTTGTCAAACTTAATCAAAACCACTAAAGTATTTATTAAAATCAGCCTATTTTTAAAAAAAATTGCTACCAGCTGACTTAATAGTTTTGGAATCATGTGATTTTGTATTTGTATAGGTAGAAACTGGCGTATGAATAATTTAATCTAAAATTTAAGCTATTATTATATACAGAACAATAATACAACTAAGAGTAATCTCATTCAAGTTATAAAATAAATCTATTTCTCAAGGCTACAAATGCAGTTAAGGTAGATGATCTTTAGATAATAGGTTATGCAGCCAATTGGCGTAAATTCATAGATTTTATGAGATTCTTATTGGCTCTTCAAATTATAACATAAAAAATATTCTGTAAAGTAATAAAAAATGTTATAGATAATAGTAAATAATATTTATATTAAAACATTAAATTGAAATAAACTATCCAACCACTGTAAAAAATAAATAAGTACTTAAATAGTTCATCACCAATTTATTTTTACGCTAATAATCTCATTATATAAAAAAACGCTTGTAGCATTGAGAAATAACAATCAACTGCTTACAAATTTAATAATCTTAATTATTACAATAATATAAAAATATAGTTATCCATATTTACAATGACAAAATTCATTAAGTAAATTAAAACAAGACACCATTCCGAGCATTGAAAGAATAGTATAAGGCGTGATAGTTGATGATTAAACGAACTACCTGAAGTGAATTTTCATCACATTTATGACTGAGCTTCATCCAAAAAATTTAATATAACAATGTAATAGCGCGCAGATCTGCTGCCATCTAACCAATATATTTGATAAAACATAATAATGAAATTCCTGCCAATTTGAAGTAATGGCATTAATACTACACGCGTCTGAATCTTCATTCCACGACACATATATGGTGCACATATATGTACATAGTGTTGCAAATAAATGAACAGCTGAAACATTATAAGTCTTAGTTATCCTCCAAGTGCTTCATCACTAAGTTTCTGAACGAGTGGCGGTCTTCCACCGTGCTCTTTTTAAAGCACTTTCTTCCACGCACAACCACTCTTTGGAATCAACTTCCAGCAGCAGTATTTCCGAACCTGTTGAACCTTGTGAACGTTGCCGACCCTGAAGAAACCTCTTTACCCCCCTTTTGAAGAACCCCATGCTGTAGTCTCTCGGGAAAACCTCGGCAGGGAGCTCATTCCATAACCTGAGTGTTCGTGGGAGAAAGCATCTCTGAAACCGCGTTGTACGCTACCATTTAGGCTGTAAGGTATGAGGGTGAACTCCCTGTCGATGGCGAGCCGTACGATGATAGAAAGTGGCCGTAGGCATCATATTGAATCCACTCCACTAATCATAGAAAAAGTATAACCCACATGAATGAATCGTATTCACTTGTGTGTCTGTACGTGAATCAGTGAGCGTTGCGTATAGTCGCGTTTGCAGCTACGCGGATGGCATTAGGATTCGGCGGACAGTCAGTTACGGTCCCCCGCGGTCGCAGGCTGCTGACGCCTCCCTGCTTTGATGAAATGATAACTACGCCTACGCCAACGGTATACGCTGGTAAAACTCCAGTAGGGATAATACGTGAAAATAAAAAAAACAGATCTATAACTCACTGGGATTATACATCTGAAATACAACACAATGGTTTCCAGGGGGACCACATGTAGGTGGCCCTGACAGGGTATATTGTTAGCATTAGAACTAGTTGTTTGCATTACTAACTACCCCCAAAGATCTGTTAAATCAGAGGCCGTAGACTTTAAATTTAAAATATATTGTTGTTAAAAATCTCTTCTGCTAATATGTACCTACTAGTAAACGGCGTAGGTTGTTTTATTTCCGTACCTGATTTTTTAATTGCCATATCCGATTTCAAAATATCGGATAAGTTGTCATCAAAATGGTTAATTTCTATTAGCTATATAGGCGATTTTTATACCTTTATAGATACATAAACACACAAAACTACGCCTATTTATAGTCTCAGTATACTGTAGTTCCCAAACTTATTGTGTCTATTGCCCACTTTAAGAATAAATTATTTTTAGCGCCCCTATTTTTTCACCTACTTAAAAACCACTATTACTTCAAGATCAACAAATCACCCCCCCCCCCCAAGATTCTACACAACACCTCTATTTTTTTTCTTTGTCTCTTACCCCCTCATTTTACAGCGCCCACAAGGAGTTGTTATCGACCACTTTGGGAAAGGCTGTTGTAGATCGTAAGCTAAACGTCCTGCCTCGTTCAGATGTTGACTCGGGTTTGAGTATGAGTATACAGCACTATTATCAAGGACTGTCCAACAGACGAATTACCGGCCGTTATTTGGCTCTGATTACTCTCAACAGCGTTATCTTTTTTAATTAAAGTATTAATTAATACCGCTTTTACCTCGAGACAATTATTAGGAACGAAAGGTTTGATATATATATTTTCATCTAGGGATTCGACGGACGTGTCCGAACTACCGTTTTTGGTGTCACTGATGTTCATTCCATAGTTTGTTTCCGCAGTTGCGGGTTCCAACGATATCAGAGAAGGAATTGGCAACAGAGCGATATTCTGCTCATCACTGGCTAGTATTTCATTAGCTGACAAAATTTCGATAACACACTCGTCAATAAAAATAAATGTATTTAATATAATTAGTATAATTCTATAAATGAAATTAAACCCTCATAGATAAACTTACCTACAATTATCGATGGTGTCGATATAATCGAATTATTCCGTGAACCTAACGTGATTTCATTTTCGCTTTAAATTTTTCTTTCTTTCCTACGAGTATGTAATAATCTAAATCGTTTTATATATTTAAACACTTTATATTATATAAAATGCTTTTTAGTGGTTGATGACACAAGCACTAAAATGCATTATTAAACGCATAATTAGGCAGGGAAGGGCAAACCTTGGTACTTTGTAATTATTATTTTGTATTTGTCTACCCCTTGTTTAGACTTTCAAATATTGTGGTTAGATGGCAAAACTATACGCGCTGTTATACTATTATCTTAATCTCTAAGATGAAACACAGTTATATTAATAGGTACTTATTAAATAGTTCTAAGTAGGTATGTATTTGAAATGGAAAATGTCGCTATTTTGACTGACAAGCAATTTTCATAATACACGCGAAGATTATAAATGACGATTATGAATTGTGCTGTAATATTATGAAACGTACCTGAAACCAAAATATAATCCACGAAGTACATCATACACATACCTACTTCGAGTATTCCATGTAATTAATGTAATTGAGGGTATTAATCATGAATCAATAACATTATCATAACCATGAATTAATACCATGTCTTGATACAACACACTTAATATTCTCGTAAGAATATTGCACTTTTATCACAAAAAGTCAAATTGTGTTAACACTAAGCACAAAACTGTCAATTTTCTATTCAACTATCACTGTATATAAAGCCAACCAGCCTTTGTCTAAGTCTTTTTTTAAACCACCATTCATACTTGTCTTTAAATCACTGAACGTGATGAACGTAATCATCGTGTATACTATAATTTTGTTGTTGTGGTCACAGTAACGGTACTGGTGGTACACCGGGCACGAGGGGCTCAGGTACACCCTGCAGAACACCTTGGTGGTAATGATGATGATGCATCATGCCGTTCATCATTTGTTGGTGATGCAGCATCGTAGCATGGTGTAACTGCGCGTGTTGGAGTGAAGCGTGATCGCCTTTCTCCTTCATCACGACTTCCTCACGTTTCTTTACCTGCTTTCTCTCTTTGGCCCTTCGATTTTGAAACCAGATTTTTACCTGTAACAAAATTTAATTATCTTCAATCTTGTGCATATTTAAACAAATTTGTATCTATAAATCATCAAACATATGATGATTTATAGATAGAATAGATTGATGATTTATTCATACAAAATATATACATTCTTAACTGGCAAGCTAAGAATGTAATTAAGTATGGTCTGTCCCCCTCTTTTAGAGAGACTGAATATGATCTATACTAATGAAATATTAAGTTGGTAAAAGAGTAGGTGAAAACTATTAACTATTATATCGTACAATACTCGTCGTTCATTCTTATAATTAAAACGTATGCAAATAATATTAAATGTAAGATTGATAAAACATGAAACTGATATACTTATTTACTGAATTGCATGGAAAAAGCAGAATAGTGGTACCAATCTCGTGTAACAAATTTCTCAAAATCAGATACAAAAAGCCTATTGTCAAATTTTTCCCAATATTTTAAGGAACAACGAAACACGAACTTATATATTAAGGTCACATAATAAATGTTTATACAAATTGTTAAAATGCCAGTCTTTTGGAGTTTTATAGTAGGACTAGCTATTGTCCGCGACTTCGTACACGTGGATTTTGGAAGTTTTATCCACTTAGAAGTTGAATTTTCAAAGTTGCTTGTTTATTATTGATCTATACTATATAATGAACCTATCTGCAAAATTCTAGATACAACGGTTTCGGCTGTGCGTTGAATACCTACCCTGCCAAATTTCTTGTTCATGCCTATAAATTTATAAGAATATTTAACTAATGGATCAATTATACATTAATAAATCGTAAAAACATACCAAATATACATATATGGAAAGGATTCTAATATCACAAACATGTATGTATTTATTAAACTTTATCGTAATAAATACGAATTAAACCCATTACCTCGTTTAAGTATAATTCTTTAATTTTGTGAAAGTAAGAAAAAAGGTAAATATCTAACAGAAAAACATATTAATTACGCCTACGACATATCACGCAACGGCAATTTTTTAAAATTAAATAGGTATCTAAATAGAGACTAGTATCAATATTGAGCGTCAAACAGGTGTGCCAACAACACACGACATCATTGTAACCATGCCTCAGAGCCGCGACAAATAAAAAACCAATTACAATCAATTATTTACAATATTATTCATACCTGTCTTTCGGAAAGGCCAAGATTAACTGCGAGCTCGGCTTTCCGGCGAATAGTGATGTATCTGCTGTAATGGAACTCTTTCTCCAACTCCAGCCGCTGATGGTCGCTGTACACCACGCGGTATTTGTCTTTTGTCCGCGTTTTACCTATAACAACAAAAAAAATTAAGAACTCAACAACTGGAGGTAAAAAACCATATACGAATTATATTATATGATAAAAATTTACATTCCACTTAGAAATTTTAGTTTTTCTAAAAAATATTGACTAGTTTTTAATTTTTTTTTATTTGTTTATTTAGTTTATTGTTGCATTATATGATGGTGTCGCCAAAACAATCCAAATGGGAAGAGGAAAAACTAAAGAGTTATGGATAGGCGGAGCAAGAAAGATAAAACAGAAACCTGCAAATAAATACATATATTGATAATAACTTTTTTAAATAATGCTATATAAACAAATCTATCTTCATTACAATTTAATAATTATATATCACTAAAACTATACCTAACATATGTATTATATAAACATATTAAACTACATAGGTACCTATCTAATTACAACAATACTATATAGCGCTTCGACTATAGGTCTGCTTTTAATATATTAATTAATGATTTAATAACAAAATGAGATGTAATTCAGATCATAAGAGATTACAAATTTAAATATAGGTAGTGAAAGATCTAAATATATAATACTTCTGTCACTACTAAGTGATAGAAACATCAAATAATGTTGACTCTATTTATTTTATACTAGCGGCCCGTCCCGGTCGCACAGGTAGACATTTTTACATTTTAAAAAGTGGCCATTAAGGCTGCACACGCGACGGAAGCTTAAAAATGGAGTAACTTTTCCCGTTTTCCCAACATTTCCCTTCACTACTTTGCTCCTATTGATCGTAGCATAATGAAAAGTATACTTTAACCTGTCTAGGAGTATGAAGAATAATTGTACCAAGTTTCGTTAAGATCCGTCAAGTAATTTTTGTTTCTATAACGAACATATAGACAGACAGACAGACAAAAATATTACTGATTGCATTTTTGGCATCAGTATCGATCACTAATCACCCCCTGATAGTTATTTTGGAAATATATTTCATGTACCTACAGAATTGATCTCTCTACAGATTTGTTATAAGTATAGATTATTTATTATTAGATTATTATTATTACAGATAACAATCGTAAGCAAATTGTTATTTGTTGTAAAACAAGAATTAAGTAAATCAAATAGCTACCTACAAAAATAACTTTTTGCACCTGTCTATAGCATTAATTATTAAGAAAATAAAATAATTAAACGCGTTAAGACTAATAAGACACTCGTAGTTTGCTTAAAAAACATGCAAAATCCTTTAAAACCTATCTTATCTGTTATTTTAAAAATTGAAGTCATGATATAGTATATTTATGCATAGTACCAATAAGCATTATTGCATGCATGGCGACTTTGTTAGCCACGCCTATTCTAAGCGACATACATGGGCATACGTCCATCTCTCTCTATCTATATGTGATATTAGGAAGCACCGCGACACATACCGTCAGTGCAAAAACTTACATATACATTAAATGATATCTATGTGAGATATCGTTTTTTAATAAGAATTTTATAATCTAAGAGTTGATGAAGTAATTTATATCTATAAATGAGGATATTAAGTTTCGTATTTTGAATGTAATAAAAATTATGTGAAATATTACTATTTATTGTGAATTATTACTAATATAGATCATAAATAGAATATCTATATTTTTATTTAAGAACATTTTTTTTTACGGATGATAATGAAATGATGACCCCGTCTGCGCTATTGGTAAACGCTGGCGGGACACCAGGGAAAAATAAATGAAGAAGAAGCAGGTCAGTTGGCCCATCATGATAAATTTATCAAAAATAACCACTATAGTTTCCAGAGGGAATCACGTAGAGGTCGGCATGTTTAAATATATTGCTATAAATATAGTTATTAGATCTTATTACTAACAATCCCTTTCTCCCCTTATTTAAGAACTTAGGTATGCCTACATATATTATTAGACATATTACCTTGCTTACCTACTTATATAATCTCCATAGAAAAATAAAAAAATCTCTTCTAAATGGAGGCAAAAAAAAAAAGAGCATCAAATAAAGAAATGTAGAGACATCACATTGCAACAAGGCTATATATTGCTAAAAGCAATCTTCTCTTTTTGCTTAGTTTTCATTTATAGTCGTAAATACAGCGTATAACTTTCATTAAAGTTTTCATGTCAAATAATTTATTTGAAGGATTATGAATTAAGGGAGTTTTTTAATTAGATACTATATTTTTTATATAGATATAATAGATTTACCTAACTACCAAGAGAGACTAAGATAGGTAATCTAAGTAAGTCTGAATAGACTTATATCTATTATTGACTTTGGTATTATTTGAATTAAATACAAGTACATTTATTGATGAATATTTCCACGCCATTCTTTCTTTGCTCTACGTAGGTATATATAGATATGGGTTTATTTATTCTCTTTGATTTTCCTTAAATTACTTAAAAACTACGTGCTTTTGTCTATTACATAGTTGTGATCATGATTTAGGTAGGTGCTTATGAATGAATGTAGTAATAATAGACCATAATCAGTAATTAAACAAATTTTTTTATGGTTACTATTCAATATATACCTAATAAATGCCTACTTTTTGTTACTATTTCTATTAATGAACAATTGCTTCATATTTCCTATTCCTTATTTTACATTTATTTGACATATTTATTTCTTTACATACAGGTATAGACATACGTATGAAGAAATAAATAATAGTAAATAAGTCGGTATTTATATCGTATTTATTTGAATTTTATATAACATGTTCTAATAAGTAATTATAAATCGCTATTCATTGACCAATTAAAACTTTATTGACTAATAAAATGTAAGACAAGAGGCGGACTTTTATATCCTATTGACACTATATACAGAAGTGGTCTTTGTACTTGAAAACAAGTTAGCATAGAAAAACATCGTTTTAATCCATTGGAATTGATAAATATTCAACTACCATTGTTGAATTAGAACCATCGTGAATCATAATTTACGATAGTTATTATAATTGTTTTATAATACTAGTTATTACCCGCAACTTCGCTTGCGTGAACAAGTTATCTCTTATTTTTGTTGGAATTTCAAGAAGTGCTTTCTTAGTTGAGTTATATAGAACCCCTGTGCAAAACTTTATCTCTTTAAATTCAGCAGTCTGTGTGCATGAGTTGAGCGTCGATTGTTAGTTACACAAGAGAAGTCATTGGTCAAAGTTCTACAAAAATAAAACACAGTATGCCCTTCGCCAACTTTAGCGGAACGATTATTCGTCGGTTTATCGTTTGAAAAGTCTTTTATATTCTCGTAACGAGCGTGTACTCGCCTCGCTCGTGTTAGGGGAGAAATCCCAAGGGCTCGATAAGGTAAATCCTCGCGCCAAGGAACAGAGGCGCCGCGCGACGCAGGCTTAGTCCTGGGATCAAGACAGGACCACACCTCGTGTTGTCTACGTATGTGTGAACAAAAACTACGCCACGATAAGTTTTATCGTGTGTAGCAAAAAAATTATACATTATCATTTATCATTGCGATTCAAATTGGACATTTCTACCTCTGAGAGGAACATTTGCATAATATACATAGATATTCTTACAGAAAACAGTGAATTTATTTACAAGTGCCTTTCCATATAGAATCCAAATTAATGTGTTTTATATGAACAGTTTTCACTATTACACGTGTCGCTTTCTCATCACAGCCGCGGAATATCCAAGATAGAATATTCATAAATAAATAAATAATATCAATAATTTCATTATTAGTCTAGACGATGTCATAAATTCCTCATTGTCTAATCGTAGATTACCACTTCCTAATATACCTTTAATACATATGTAAACATATAGTTAATCTTTGTACCCCAGTACGAACCTTAAAAAGCATGGATTTATCCAAACTATACAGGTTTTCACGTTGTTATCTTTAGATTTTTCGAGATCTGAATAATCACAAATCACATATTTTTTTTTTATATTAACAGTAACAAAACAAATATCAAGCAGGTAAGACATTTCTTAAATACGCATACGAATAGGTATTTTAATATTAAACGTGGAAATTATTGGGTTTCCCAATGTGTCGAATTTTACATTATGGGTTTTGTTTACATTTTTTTTTTTATCTTCCATGTAGATTTCTCAACAAGTAAAATTACGAGATATGTAGTTATATCTGTGTACATTGCAAAGACTGAGTAGATGTGTCTCCTTGTTTACTCGGGTTTGTAAATATTCCTTATCTCGGTTTATGAACTTCATAAATTATGTTTGTCAGACAGACAATCAGAGTGGAATTATACATTTACGTAATAATTTCTTGAGTTGAGAACGATCGTGTGCTTATTAGGTAAGTATCTATATTAAAATTATAGAGATTATGATGTGTTATTAAATTTTCCAAAATAGAACTAGTGGTCATTAACCTTTTTTTGTCGAGGGGAAATGCTAATGCAGACCCACATACCTCAGGGAAGATATGTGGGTACTGCTGAACTCTTACCAACTAAAATACCCCGATGTTTCTCATCCGTCTGTTGTTAGAACCGCGGAGAACCCGCTTGAAGTCCGAGACAGTAATCATAAACCTAGCTCAAGATAGTTATGGAATATATATTTTTATTAACTGTATGCTACGACTACTCTTGCATGGATCAATTCATCCTTATTTATTTTTATTTTATAAAACTTAGAATGGCAAACAAGCTAACGGCCCACCTGATGAAAATTGGTAACCGTCGCCTATAGACATGAGCAGTACCATGGACATAACAGATTATACAGTTTCATCTATAATATCCCCCCATGCGTTGCCATTCTTGAGGACTGGCTGTTATTCCTCTGTACTTGTGATTAAAAAAAATTCTGTCCGAAACACTTTGGAAGAATAAAATACATGGAGAAATTTTTGGAGAAAAGTGAAATGGGCTTGGAAAAAATACCCAAATCTTTGGGTATTTTTTTGGACATTTTTGGTATGTGTAAAGTGTATAGAGAGTATATAAATGCAATAAATTATATGAAAGGCAAAGCAGAGGATGGGATATATATATATA